ATCATATATATATATGTATATATATATATATATATACATACGCAGACGCATGACTGCATAAGCCACTGAGCTTGTGAGAAATTATAATAGCATTTGGCTAATTTATAATAGGAAACTGTATTTTCCAAATACAGATAATTACTTCATAGGATTATTATATTTAAAATTAGGAAAGTTAAGTCTCTGCCTTTTTAAAATCCTCCAAAATCCATTTTTACATGTTCATGTATCTCACATCCTACCCTTTTGAGTAATCTGTTATGCTATCATGTGTCCTTCTTCTGCTTATGAATCCAGGGGGAGAGGTTAAGCCATGCTGTTGGATGTGCCTTTGCTGCCTGTCTCGAGAGAAAACAAAAACGTGAAAAAGAATGCGGTGTGACTGCTACCTTTGATGCCAGCAGAACCACCTTTACACGAGAAGGCTCATTTAGAGTTACTACTGCCACAGAACAGGCAGAGAGAGAGGAAATCATGAAACAGATTCAAGATTCAAAGAAAGGTACCCCTCTCTATGTATCTCTTTCCTTCCTCATTTTATTTAGTTCTTATATTTTAATTCGGGATGCACCGATACCGTTTTTTCAGTACAGGGTATGAGTACCAAGATTTATTTTTCGTTGCTTGCCGATACCGGAAGTCTCTTAAGGAAGCCGGGCAGCGTGTAATGACTCGCCACCCGGCTTCCTGATTAGCCAGGAAGCCGGCTCCATGCTCCCTCGTCACCAGGTGAGGAGGAAGCATGGAACCGGCTTTCTGACCAATCAGGAATTTGGGGGGTGGGTAATGACTTGCCGCCCGGCTCCCTGATTTGGCCATCTTCCCGACTGGCGAGGAAGATCTGATATCGGGAGTATCGTCCAAATACTCGATATGGGCACCGATACTAGTATCGGTGCATCCCTAATTTTAATGTGTTAATAAGTGCAGCTAGTAGCATTTGGCTGGACATGTTCTATAATGTTGAAGATGTTTTGCTACTTAGCCAAACAGCTTTCATTTAGCTCTGTGTGTCAGGAACCTATCCAAGCATTTATACCCACATGGGTAAAGCTGGCCAGATGTCTCAAATTTTTTTTTTTTCAAATTGACAATTTTTATTGATTTTTTTTGTTCATATTCAGGTAATACATGAGCAGCAGAAGATATAAAACATAAAAGCAAATGGAATACAGACCATAGCCACTTGCACATAGTAAGGCACTCAGTAATGCATAGTAAACCCATTACAACAACAAGTCATAGGTAAGAGATGGTGTATGCAACCCGAGGAGGTTAAGACCATATTAACCAGCAGACATTACCAGTATGCCGGAAGAAAATTGAAATGTACATTCTACAGCTAACTCCTGTTAACTTAACATGAAAAACATAAATAAGTAGGCAGGAAAGAACCCTGGAGAAGGAAAGATAAAGAATAGAAAGAAGAAAGGTTAGATAAAGTAGATGTCTAAAATTTTGGAGTTCTACTGACTTGGATGAAGTACGAGCAGCGTCTGTACCCCTTTTATGCAACAAAAGTTGACCTTTTAGTCAACTTCTGTCGAACGAGCCAGTCTCAAAATTCTTGCCTGAACAGTTTATGCATGCTTAACCCTAAACCAGTCACCATGGACTGTGTCAAGGTAGATGTTAGGTCTAGAGCTGCAGCTAACGATTATTTTCAAAATCGATTAGTTAGCCGATTATTAAGTTCGATTAATCGGTTAACTACTAGAACATGATGGCAAGTGTTCTTGAATAATATGTGCCTTGACACAATCCAGAATAACTTATTGTGCTCACTGTTTGCAGAAGTATGTTTGGAATTCTAACATGTCCTTTTCTATTCACCCACTAATGTGAAAAACCTAAAATGACCATCTAAGATGTTTAAGTGGATTCTATAAAGTTCCTAAGACTTTTGCAAATGACTATATATGTCAATTATAGATGGCAAATGGGGAAAAAATGACATGAACTATAAGTGATTTTAGGTCATTTTACAATTGATCATTTTATTTTGTATTCATTTAGGTGTGGATGCTGAATTAAAAATGGTGGCATCGGCTGTCTCTGCTGCTACTACTATTACTACTGCTGCTGCTACTGTGACTTTGGCCCCTGCTCCAGTGCTGCAAACTTCACCAACATCTGAGGTCCATATATACCAGGATAGCAAAGATATGAACTACCCCCATGCAATTCCACGCAGACATGCCCCTGTTGAACAGTTAGCCAGGCAAGGCTCATTCAGGGGATTTCCTGCCCTCAGCCAGAAAATGTCCCCATTTAAACGTCAGCTTTCTCTGCGTATCAATGAATTACCATCAACAGTGCAGAGGAAGACAGATTTCCAAATCACAAACCCAGGTAAGACAGTTTATTTATCTTCCTTCATTCCATTTTTTATAGCATGAAATGTCTATACTCATAAGAGAAAAATAAGTCAAATGAACTCCAAGCCATTTGAGGCTCATTTTAAATGTAGAGAGCAAAATTAAAGATTTAATGAAAGAAAACCCCGGCAAAGTTTTTTTCTCCGGTACTGAGCAGGGAGATGAAGCTTTCGTAAACAACCCTAATAGCCTTTTTTTCTTTTAAAGATCATAGGTTTTTATATCTCTTTTTATTCATGCTTTTCTTAAAGCACAACCTACCAATTCAACAGTTTCCCCCCAAAAAGCTCTTTAGAAATGTCTAATGTTATTAAATCCTTAAACATACCAGTGTTGTTTTCTGCAGTGTTTCATATCCATTCTGTACAGTGTATGCTGCATTCAAGGTATTCGTGTACTCACAATTGCCAGTGTGCTTATGTTGGTACTCAAATGAAATTTCAAGCCCTCATATGGCTGGTATCATAGCTGATCATTTGTGCAACACCATGGCACTTGCAGGTCTAAATAGAGGCTAAGATTGCATAGTCTTCAGTTGCAAAACGATAGGATGGTTCAGTTATGCTTTAAGAGAGCACAGCAAAAGTTTACTCTTAGTGATGTATAGAGTTGCAACCAATTAATCGATAATGAGAATAGTTGTGAACAGTTCTCATTATGGATTAGTTGGTTGGATCCCCTAGTTCTCTCTTTAGCGATCAGAGCTGTTATTTCATCGGCTCTGTGTCAGAGGACTCAAACCATTGCAGCTGGTGCCCAGCAGTGAGGAAAACTCCCCCAAACCTTAGCTCTGTGTCCCCTCCGTTCCCCACTCTTCGCAGCACGGATCGAAGGGGACACAGCAGAAGAGGGACCTTGAAATTTCTCCTTCAGGTCTCTCTTCTGCTGATTGACACCTGGCAGTGGGTGGGTGCAATAGCCAGCTGGCTATTGGTTATTGCCATTTGAAATTGCCAATAGCAGGCTGGCTATTGCACCCGCCCACTGCCTGGCTCTGGAATCTTGCTGCTGGCAGTTGTTTCATGTGATATTTCATGTAAACTTGACTAAAAATTATTTGCATAGTATAATGTAAAAGCACATATTGTAACTATTTTTTTTAAAACACTTTACAAATGTATACAATGTTTGCCAGTTAATACTCTTGTTTGGCAGACTTACCTTCAATAATATTTAGTTTTAAGAGCAGTATAGTCAGAATATATGTAGTAATTGTAACCTATCACAATACAGTTTACAAACTCATGCAGGTTAAAGGGCAGGCTTTTTTTTTACTTTTTAAAGAATAATTAAAGTACACTATTCTCTTCTACTTTTATGATTTTCTTCATAATGCAGCTATTATAGTTGACATTTGGTGGTTCCTCTTCCTTACTGTGCAGAGAGAGGGAGTTATTAGAAATAAACTATTTTTGTGAATAATTGGGGGATATTACTTTAGGGGGTTCATAGAAAATTTGTCATGGTGTGCTTAAAACCTAGTTTCCATAACTAAAATGGTTAGGACAGGAGCATCCTTCCTTAATGTCTTGTAGGCATCCCCAGTGTATCCAAAACATAAAACATTTGCAGTCAACAGAATATGCCACAGTAGCTAGTAATTTTAAGGCTTCTTGCATGGAAAAGCTGGTCTTTTATGCATATTGTTTGACTAAACCTTGAGTGTACTTTACACATAACAGTTATGTTATTCTGCTCTGTCATATAGTGAGCTTAGAAAAAAATAAAAGTAGTATGATTTGATATTGACTTGCTGAGCGAATAACACTTGTGTTGACATTCTCAGTGGTGCATTGACATTTTAAAGGAAATGTGTGTGTATATATAATATAAAGTATTGCATAAGAATATTTCTTTTTATTCACAGTTAGCAGCAGCTAAACTTAATGGGAACCTGTACTGAGATAAATATGGGGAATGCCATTGCAGAACTCCTAAAAGCATAAGTTGCCTAGTCAGCATTTCTTTCAAAACACATTTCTTTTAACTGGTTTGCTTTACAGGTCTGAATAGCTCAAGGTCAAATATCATACCTAGCTTAAAGTGACACTAAACTCAGGGGTTAAATCCTAAAAATGCATTCAAGTACCCTAACTATTAACAAAAAATGTATCTTATTTGTGTATCACTCGGCTGTAGATCCTCCAATCATCTCTGAATTGGTGCTGACAATGTCCTTCCTTCTGGAGGGTGGCTACTTTTGTTCCCCATGGTCCCTGTGTGTGCTGTAAAGTAGTCACCGCTCCAAGCTCGCTACAGTGATGGACTATAGTCTCATGTTTAGTTTACTAATTTATATTTACAGTATATTTACATTGTAGTCCATCACAGGAGTGAGCTTGGAGCAGTGACTACTTTGCAAAACACACAGGGGGAACAAAAGCAGCCACCCTGAAGAAGGAAGGACACTGGCAGCATGATTTCAGAGATGATTTGATGATCTACAGCTCAGGGATACACAAGATACATTTTTGTTAATAGTTCAGGTACTTGAATGTTTTTTTAAGGTTTAACTCCTGAGTTTAGTGTCACTTTAATGGGACACCCCAACTGTCACACTTTAGATGGGCCATATAGATATTAATTTAGAGAGCAATGGGGAAAAAGCTATTGTCCTCTGCATGCTTTGAAACTCCGATGGCATGTGTGCACCTTGTATTTATTTAAAGTGTATTTCCACTTTTGCTGTCAAAATTATGGAACTCTCACTATATGTGTTTTTCCCTTTAACACAGCATACTTAAACATTGGTTTAAATGCTGTTCAGCTTTTTCGATTGGGGCAGGTTTATACATAAGACACAATAGGCAAGCGTCTATTTCTTAGAATAAATGGCAGTATGAAGGTAAAGGACAAAAATAGGGACATTAACAAAAAATAAATATGCATCCTTGGTGATCGTTAACCCTTTTTTAGGACGGACAGTTTAGTACGACTGGTACTAGAGATCTGCCAGCAGACTGCAGGCAAGGGTAATTATGGTAAACATTAACACCCCAGCTCCTCTGTAATGGAGAGCATTAAAAATGGCAGATCCTTGGGGAAGCGAGAACGAGAGAGGGATCCCCAAATGGATGCTGGGAAAACCAAAGGGTTTTAAATGGGGTGGATGGGAGAAACACTTATATTGTTTGTCTTGCGAGGGTTGTAAAGGGATTAAAAAAATGTACAATCTGCCCATCTTGGACAGGCAGATCGTACTTGCGATCATCGCAAGCCCGCCCCTCAGGCTTCCGATGACTGCAATGAGGGGTGGCTTCCGATGACTGCAAACAGGCAGTGTGCGCGTGCGCACACCGGCCCGTTCGGCTGTTGTCGCACAAGCAGGCCACTAACCCGCCGAGAATCGTACGATTGTCGGCGGGTTTTGGCGAAGGATGACGTGCGACCGTACAGTAGAAACGGTTGCACGCCTTCCGTACACTGTGCGATTTATCGTACGATCGCGGGATTTCCCAATCAATTAAATTACAAAACCTATAAGACATAGGGCTACTTAACCATTCTTATAGTTTGAATGTCAATTTTGTGATATTTCTTTCTAGTTGCTGAAATGGAAGGAGAGGCTGACAGCATCAGCGCCTTGTGTTCCCAGATAACCAATACATTCAGCGGTCCAACAGAAGACCCATTCACATCAGCTCCTATGACCAAACCAACCACTCCACAGTCTCCACCATTCGAAGGTTTGTACTGGATGGTTTGCAGTTTTGTTTCTATTGTTGGCTAATGTATATTCTATTTTACAGGTTTACTGCCTTGTATTCTAGCTTTTTTTTAAATTAACATAGATTTTTAACTAGCTAAAGCTGTGATCCCTTTAAGCTGATAGAAAGTAGTATTACACTGGTCTACAAGAAGAAAGCCTCGGAAATGAAAGTAGCTACATTTTACCAGAATTGGGTCTTTAATAAAGGAAAACTACGTCCTGAGTATTAATTGGCTCCAGTTTTCAAGAATCAAAATAATTCAGAATTACGAGGGGAATGTGCGATTTATGCTCCTAACTTATCTGCAAAATGGGATATAGCAATGAAAATGGTGCCACACCAATCATTATAAATGTATTTTTTTATTGATACCAATAACAACAGTTCCTTGGAAATGTTAGGCAAAGCCAGCAGATGTAACTGTATGATGTGTAGATCTGACCAAGACAAATGTACCTTGCAATAAAAGAATAATAAATTACAGTTGGGTAATAATCTTTAGTCTCAAAGTGACGATACATTTTATACATCCATGTGGTACCATTTTCATTGTTCTACCGTACTTTGGCGAAGTTACGAGGCATCATGATCATCAGACACCTCCCTCCCTTGTAGGCAAATATACGCGCCTGTGTATAAATCTTTATTGTGAAATATCTTTAAAACTTTAGCCAACCAACCAGCACCTTTTTATGACTTTTTTTCTAATTCATCCAATCAAAATATGTAAGAATTGATACATTTTATCTCAGAGGTCGATCATTTCCCAAAATGTGTAGACCAGTGTTATTATTAGTGTAATAGAACAGGGACACCATTGTACGAAGTCTAGAGTGGCGATACCATTAGCTAAAAGAGCAGTGATCCTGTTGTACTATTATTTACACTACACAGGTAGTGATAGAGCTTTTAAATACTTATGAAAAAGTCTCTCAGAAGGAGGCCATACGGTGTACATGTGCTCTTTGCCTATTCACAAAAGCAGGCTGTGATTACACTGCAGCTGCGTGTTTTCCGAATGGGAGCAGCCTACTAAGGGGTGAACAAAGACACCAGCACTGGTGTCAGTCATAGCTGTGGTGCTGGTGTCCACAAGCGGTACTAACACACATGAAAAGGGATGATAAAAGGTACACTGCTGAAGTCAGTAGATGATACACATAACCTATATCTAAACAATAAATTTATATAAAATATAGATTACATAAACATAATGGTGCCTGCAGTTCCGCTTTCAATAAAGTGGCTTATAAGCTCTGTGGTTGAAGTCTTTTGCATTAACATGCATTGCAAATCGCTCTAACAAACTTTGCAGTAAGATATATCTTTGAATAGTATTGGCAGTCAATCCCTGGGCTCTTCTTGTTATATGTGGTTTTCTGTAGTAGTCATTGGATGCAGAACAAATGCTTGTGTGCCATTTTTTTGTTTGAATTTTGAATTGGCTCATATCAAACAATGTTCACTTATGCTTAGCACCACTGTTGCCATTATCTAGTACTCAAGTCAATGGTAATGCACTGTTAATGCATAATGAACACAATTCAATTGGGTCATAAAGGCTTCTCAAATGCAAGCTATTTTAAAAATGTGCTGTCTTTCATTTGCCCCTAAAACTGATGTCCATGTTTACTAACCCCGTGTACGGTGCTGCACAATAAACTAACTTGCTTACAGTCATTTCTTAGCAAAGGGACAGTACATGACAGGAAGATACTCCATTGCAACACGTTGGCTCTATTGATCGTAAACTGTGCAATCACATACCGCTGATCGCTCATTTCCCGATCTTCTCCCTGCAGAGGGTGGTGACTGTCAGGCACTGCTCCCTGCAGGTATTCCCCCTTCTCCTTTCCTCCAGCACTGACTGGAAGGCTGGACAGTGGACGGGGTGGGCAATCACACAACGGGATGGATCCCGACAATATTGTCAGGATCCGTCCCGGCTGCATGCGTATAGTGGGCAATAGCCTGCTGTATGCTGAGTTTTGGGTCCTGTTACCCTAAAGAGAACCATGGCAAAAAATGGCCATAGTTCTCCATTTAACCCCACCATTCTTACAGCTTAGTTTAATCTTTTTATTTTTAATCCATGTCTTTCATTTGTCTTTGTTTGAGAGAACTGTACTTTAATATTTTAGGGTCTCTCTGCTAAACTCATCCAACTTGCTGTGTTCTGTTGCTACAGTTTTCCTAACTTTATGTGCATGACCCAGCTGAAATTAACATGCTTGCTTGTTGTCATTTTTAGTAAATGGCACCACTTCTGCATTCACGCTGCCTGCCCCTAAACCTGCACCAGTCACTGTGGCCCCCACAACAGCACCAGTTCGGGAGACTAATCCATGGGCACATGCCCCTACAGCTGCTGCCTTACAAGTTACTAGCACAGGAGCAGCACCTGTAGCCACAGTAGTAGGTAAGACTAAATTAAACGTATTCATTTATTAGGTTGGAGTTATCCATGTTTTACTATGATTGATCATTCTTAGAAATGATTTCTGTACATTAGTAATTTTTATCTTCCATAGAGCTTTGGAGATGAGCCTTGGGTGAAAAAAAAAATGCCATTTAAATTAGATATGCACCGATATATCAGCCGCTGAAACATATCGGCCGAAAATGCCACTTTTGGCGTAATGCCAAAAGTGCCATTTTCCTGCTGATACATCGGCGCATCCCTGGTTTCTTTCCTCCCCGCTCGGCGCTGCTTTGTGTCCCAGCGGGGAGGAGAGGAAGTGTGACAGCCGGCCGAGTGCTGCGGGAGGAGAGCACCTCCTATCATAGTCCGACAGAGCAGTGTGGGGGGCGGATACAGGCCGCACTGTCACAGAAGGCTGGGCTCTCCTCCCTACACCGCTCGATCTGCCTCCTGTGACAGCGTGTCAGAGAGAGCAAGGTACAAACACTCAGTGATCGCTGAGTGTTTGTAGATAATTGAGGACATGGTATGTGTACTATATCCTCAATTATGAATGGGAAGTGATCTACATCACCTCCTGTTCATTCATAGTTGTAGCTATAGTAAACATACTATGTTCTCATGCTATGAATGAACAGGAACACACAGAGCATTCCTGTTCATTTGTAACAGGATACAGAAAAGAGATTGAGGACTTTGTGTCCTCAATCTCTTTTTTTTTTTATTTTAAAAGGGAAATATCAGGGGTCTGTTTTAAATCCCTATTATTATTTCCCTGAAGCCCCTAAAAGTAATATAAAAAATAAAAATATTTAATAAAAAATTAATACAAAATAAATATTGAAAAAAATTAAAAGTTTATAAAATAAAACATTTTTAAAAATTAAAATAAAAAACATTTTCGGTTTCGGCCTGACAATTTTTTTTTGTTTCGGTTTTAAAATTTCCAGTTCGGTGCACCTCTAATTTAAATGTCTGTGGGGCAAAGTGAACATGTAATAGCCAAAACCTATAAAACAGGAACCCAACAAAGCAGGCTTCATGGTGATTCCTGAAATCCTGGGCTTTGCTCTGAGCTTTAGTCTACTGCTACCCACAGAATTATACAGTGGATTGTGAGAGCTTCAGTAGCCAGTAGATGTGTGCCCCACTACTATGCTGGGAATGCCAGAGACCTGTATCAGAGCAAAGATGAGAATTTTAAGAAGGGTCATTGAAGGGTCCTTCTAATTTACTTGTTTACAATATACTCCTGAACCATTTTAGCAGTTAATCAATAAGGCTGGAAATTCTGTAACGTCTACAATTTCATGCCATTGTTTAATCCATACGATCAAGATTACAATGTGCTTTTATGATAGTGGCTCATGCAAAGCTTGACACTGGCATGTCATTGATTATAGTTAAACAAAAAAAAAAACTTTGCCTACAGTGATGTAATGGTCACACCATATTAGTTTATAAATACAGGTGTACATTATTAGTCAACTGCAATAAAAGTGCACACGTGTTCAGCAGATCAGAGTTCAGTTGTTAAGAATTGCCTTTTGTTCCATACAGATAAAAGTAAGGCTGTGTTTAATTCACCAGCAATATAGCTAAGGTGCCAGGTGATACAAAAGTGACATCCCGTTGCCACCAGTGCTGCTTTTCTCTGCAGTGGACAAGCAATCAATGTGTCATTCTAGAGCAACATTTTTTGTAATGTAGTAAAACTTGAATATGTCCATTATACTATTCCTTGCATTTGCAAGTGTATGGTTAGTTAATATGGGAACCAAAACGTAATCTGCAGCTCATCTCTACCTTCTGCCTTGCTAAACAGCTGTTGTCATATTGCTTGTCAGCGTTGCCAGGCTCTATTTCCCCTTATTAGGTCACATTCATAAGGGGAAATGTATTTTCACTGATTAATAAGCCTGTAGCTTGTCATTCAGCATCTGGCCACACCTAGTCCTGCCTACTGCTTTCTGGATTGACGGCACTGCCTCTGTTGATGAAACCCTCCCACTGTGAGCTGCTGCATTTGGGAGGGTGCATGTGGGACACAAATGAAGGGGGATTCAGCTCAGTCAATTATTTTTTAACTTTGAAACTTCCGCATCACATAACTGAATTTGGGACTTGTTTAATCCACCATAAAGAAGTCTTCTTTGAAGTTTAAATTGTGGCAAATCACAGTTGCAGCAGTGGGATATTTACTGTCTGTCAAAAGGGTTGGAACTGGCTTTGCCTGAATATGGTTCTTTGACAGATATCGTGCAACCCATGAAAACAGCTGCGTTTGGTTGACAGCATCAGAGGACGTTTCTAGTAACGAAAGCTTAATTATAGGCACACAACTAAACACACATACAATACATTTTAGGCGGCCGTTTTTTCTTACCAAAGGATTTGAATTTTTGGTTATCCAGTCCTGAGATTTTCACATCCCTGCCAGCCAACATAGCTAGGTGGTTGACACCACTTAAAGTTGAGGAAAACTTTAATGGCCTCTCTCCACTCCCAGCCCGCTGACTGCATAGAGAAAGTACAGCAACAGACTGATGAAGTAAACCCTCTGCTCATCTGCTTCTTCATCCTATCAGCATGTTCCTTGTCAACCTATTTTGCATGCAGCTTATCAGATTTGCTCCCAGTTCTGCCTTTCCCTTTACCAATCAGAGTGCCGCTTTTTGGGGGATTGCAAGAGATTGGCACAAAGTAAAATGTTATGTAATACGCTAGTTGCAGTTAAAATATTCCTAAAACCCTTTTGCTGCCATTTTTAAAGGAGCACTTTTTTAATCGGAGTATAGCATCAAGTCAATGAAACTCCTGGGATATTGGTCAGGTCAGTTAAGTAGCAGAGGGGGTTGTTAATCAGTTTCAGCTGCTTTGGTGTTAATGAAATTAACAACGGGTGCACTAGATGGGCAACAATGAGACAACCTCTAAAACAGGAATGGTTTTACAGGTGGAAGCCACTGACATTTTTTTCCCCTACTCCTCTTTTCTGACTGTTTTTCACTAGTTTTGCATTTGGCTAAAGTCAGTGTCACTACTGGTAGCATGAGGCGATACCTGGACCCTATAGAGGTTGCACAGGCATGCCAACTCCTCCAGGATGGCACATCCATACATGCCATTGCCAGAAAGTTGGCTGTGTCTCCCAGCACAGTCTGAAGAGCATGGAGGAGATTCCAGGACACAAAATGAACTCCAGCAGGCCACTGGTGTGAATGTCTCTGACCAAACAATCAGAAACAGACTTCATGGGCCCTGTGCTCACTGCCCAGCACCGTGGAGGTCGATTGACATTTACCATTGAACACCAGAATTGGCAGGTCCGCTACTGGCTCCCTGTGCTTTTCATGAGCAGGTTCACCCTGAGCACATGTGACAGACGTGAAAGGGTCTGGAGAAGCCGTGGAGAACGTTATGCTGCCTGTAACATCGTTCAGCATGACCAGTTTGGTGGTGGGTCAGTGATGGTCTGGGGAGGCATATCCATGGAGGGACGCACAGACCTCTACAGGCTAGACAATGGCACCCTGACTGCCATTAGGTATCAGGATGAAATCCTTGGACCCATCGTCAGACCCTACGCTGGTGCAGTGGGTCCTGGGCTCCTCCTGGTGCACGACAATGCACGGCCTCGTGGCGAGAGTATGCAGCCAGTTCCCTGAGGTTGAAGGAATTGATACCATTGAATGGCCCCCATGCTCGCCTGACCTGAATCCAATAGAACACCTCTGGAACATTGTCTCGGTCCATCCGACGCCCCCAGGTTGCACCTCAGTCTGTTCAGGAGCTAAGTGATGCCCTGGTCCAGATCTGGGAGGAGATACCCCAGGACACCATCCGTTGTCTCATTAGCAGCATGCACCAACTGTTACTTTTATTTCTCTCCTTTTTCCCTGAATACTGATGTAGTTTTCACTCAGAAAAGAGTGGCAGTCCGAAGTGAAAGATATACAGGGGACAGACATTGGTGACACTTATCTAGGTGCCTGCGGCGCACACTCTTTCCTTCCTTGGTTTAGGAACATAGCACATAGATTCAGCTCATGTATACAATATACTTAATATATGCTTGTCATAAACACTATGCATTCACTCAGCAGCAGAAAGAAATGGTTGCCTTCCTAATTGGGGCTGTGCATTCCGCTTTAAAATGAGAGGATTCTGCTGTTATTTCTACTTCTGTGATTTCTAGTCTAGACCCATATGAACCTAAGCGTGTCTGCGAGGTTTTTCCTCTTCATCCTATTTTTGATTTTGGTTTTTATATAAGGATTGGAAAATTCTGGATAAGCGGTTTCTGGTTCCCAGAGACTTTAAGGCTCCGTATCCTTTTCTGGAGAATTTTGTTTAAAAATTGGAGAATGTTTCTTGTACCATTTCTTTGCTAACTGGTTCGGCTCCTCAACCATTATTGGCTACAGTCCTTATTTCCCAGACTTCCAGATTTCCAGACTAAACAAATGTGCATTTTTGGAAAAAATGGCTCTGGCTGCACAAAGGTTAAAAATCTATGTAAACCTTTAACAATTAACTTCTTTTATTTACTCATTTTTAGTCTTTTATATATACAATCGGAAGCATTTTTTTCATATCTGTTTGGTAGGTTAAAATTAAATGTTGATCTTGTCAGAAATACAAAGCTGTCCTATGAACTCTGCACACTTCAAAGAGCCCACCAAGTTCTTATCTTGTCTTTTTTTTTTTTTTGTGTATATTTTTTTTTTTCCTTGCTTTAACATGTGTTTTAATGAAAAAAAAAAAAACGATATCTGCCTGCAAAAGTCAGTGATAATGGAGAAGTTCAAGAGTTTCCTTGGAGTCAAACCAAACCAGGTGGCGGGCAAAGGCTGAAGAACGCAAAAACAATTCTCTTGTTTCATCTTCATTTAGTTAACAGCTTTCATAATTAAGTTGTGTTTCTGTTCTTTTACAAAAGTTTGAAAAACAATATGGTGTAAATTCACTATACTTTTAACAGGATAATTTTCATTAAAAGAAAAAGTGCTCCATGAATTGCCTGCACATACCTTAAGCAGCTTGTAGCCCTGTGACTGCACCCGTATCCTTGACCATTCTGATGAGACAAAACGTCATACTTCCGGATGGTAGTAATGCTTGCCGGCTCCCTCCTGCCTTCCAGACAGTCCTGTTGGCCCATCATTATGATGGGTTGCCTCAGTGTCTAATTAGAATGTATATACGTATGGGGCAGGCAAACTTTGCCCATGGAGTGTTTAAAGTGAAATTAAAGCATACTTTTTTTCCCCTTCCCCCAAAGTTAATGTCGGCACTTTTACCTTTAAATGTTGTCTCTTAATCCGATCTTCGTCTTTCCTGTCCTTTTCAGCCTTCTCTCCAGCGCTGCGGCGGGTCTCTGATCCAGCGCCGACTCCTCTGTGCTTGCTGGCACTTCCTGTCCCACGGTGTCTGCATGCGGGTGCACGCATCCATATACTTGTGTCTCTCCGTCTCCCGGCCGAAAATTTGAACTGCGCATGCGCTCGCCCCAAGATGCTTTGCGGCCGCCCGGGATTTTTCAGATTTTCGGACGGGAGCGCGCGGCAAAGACACAGGTAAGTTTAAAAAAAAGACCCTTTCAAACAGGTTTAAAGTTTTTCTGCATATATCGCCTGCTTGCTAGCAGTAGATATATGCAAAAAAACCTGAGGGTTTAATAATCCTTTTAAAGCTTTGCCCATTCAGAATCGCTCGGATTTCAGGCGTCGTGGCACGGACTGCAGAAATATGTATGGGCTTCAAATGTGTTTAAAATTGGTGGTTCTTTCCAATCTGTATTTAAGCACCTCCAAGGATAAACTTCCCAATAACCTTTCCCTTCTGCTTCAGGTATTGTTGTTGATGTTATTATTTATATTTATGATTATTATCCATTCACCACCTTTAAATTGTAATGGGGCCTATCAGAATTGGTTTTTTTTTTTTTTTTAATATGATGTTGAAAAAGTATGTAAACCCAGGAAGTAAGATTGTGGGAGCCAGTAGTCAGGAGAGCTGCTATTGGAAGGGATTTTGCATTGCTCACTTGCCTCTAGAAAATGTAAAAGAACTTTAGTGGTTGCACAGCAAATGTCTAAGTAAACTAAAGAATTATATATTTTATTTATAGTTAAATAATAATCTGTCGAATGTTTGACAACATCTGGCCTTTTGGAACTTATTTTCTTGTTTTAAAGCATCTAATTTTTTTATATACTCTTTTGCAGGACCCGAGTTCACATCTAGTCCAGCCTTGGTCCAGTCGAATCACAAGCGAACTCCTTCAGAAGCTGACCGCTGGCTTGAGGAGGTGTCTAAAACGGTCAAAGCTCAGCAACGCCAGTCCCCTGTGCCTGTCTCTGTCCCTCTTCCTGTTCCTGCCCCTGTGCTCCAGCCTCAACCTTTACTGCAACCTGTTGTTGCTGCTGCACCAAATCCAACTCAGTCTTACCCATCAAATGCATTTATACCTCCACCTACAGTGCAAGTTGCCATAGTTCCCTCTTTACCACCTACCTTCATGCCTGTGCAGCAACCATACACTGTGGCTAATGGAATGAGCTACGCAGCTTCCAGTGTTCCCGTTGTCGGCATCACACCTTCACAAATGGTTGCTAATGTATTTGGAGCTGCAGGTCACCCACCTGTATTTCAGCAGAAGCCTTCACCGGGTCTGGTCAAGCAACAGACTTTCCCCACGTATGAGACAAACAGCACCACTAGCAGTCCCTTTTTCAAGCCAGCTGTCAAGCAGCAAAATGGTTCAGTGGCATTCAACGGAGTAGAAAACAGTGGCTGGGATTTGGGTGCTAAGCAAGGGCCACCATCATCCGCAGCCATTGACCCATTCGAAGCCCAGTGGGCTGCTTTAGAAAGCAAATCAAAGTCTCGTGGAAACCCATCACCAACAAACCCTTTCTCCAGCGAACTCCAGAAGACTTTTGAAATAGAACTCTAAAGCAGCAACTAACCTATCAGAGACTGGCCTAAAGATTCAGACACACTTTGCCATAAATGTTCTATGAGATATATGGAAAAAGGACCAATGATGGACATGAAAGCTGCAGTACTCACCAAATCTGTATTCGGTGAAGACCTGTGGGGAAAATCCACTGTTCTTCCTCCAGATCATTCATAGGCTTACCTAACAAGCAAGTCACAGAAGATTTTTTTTTTTTATTGTGGTCATGAAGTGGAAGAGTCAAAATGTACTTTTTATTTTTTTCCTGGAAAGACACATGGCCACAAACAATAGACATGACTCTCTGCAAAGCAGTATAGCAGTGCCTGAGCTTCCACAGCAAAATAAGAGAATATATATGTATATATGAAGATTGGGGGTGGTAATACTGGGGATATGTTAATCCCTGGTCTGCTCGGTACTTAGGGGTGTAATGCACTTCAGATCACTGAATTGTAACCCCTCTACTGGCAGATAAGGGAATAAAGCCAAAATCTTTATTTTTATGCATTACAAATATTTTAAATAGTTTTGGGTTAATTAATGGTCGTCGAAGTTTGTAAGTAATCTTGCCAAAGGTTAAAATGAAACGGTTGATTCAGTTGCTAGTAACTGTACATAATAATTGATTTAGCTGCTAATTCTTACCTAAAAACTGGACTGCCTGTGGTTTTATCTTCATTTGCTATGTGTCACTTGCAGCTGTAAGTAGCACATGGGTTAAAGCGAACTGGTGCTTCTCCCAAGACGGGCAAAGCAACAGGTACATTTTAATGGCTTCCCTAGCAGCAGCTTCTACTCTCCTTTTCTTCGCTCCCCGCTGTTCCATGTATCCATCGGGAGTAAAGAATGTATCCCTGAATAAGTTGCAGACCATGATTTGGTGCTGACACAGGGCTGATGACTCCCCATGTGAGAGAGTTGGATTCCTTAACAGCCAATCACCATCACTGTTGTGTGAGAGGAAGGGGAGATAGTCAGGTGCTCCTCATACCTGGAAGTACCAGGTATTTTTCTTTACTCTAGGCCGCTGAATGCACAGGTAAGGGGGGCAAAATAAGTAGAAGCAGCAGCAGGTGCTTCACTTTAGTCATGAGCAGTGGAATGGCTTTGTTGAACTTACGGGGGAAGGCATATTAAAGAACAGTATTTGCATGGTGTAAAAGCCATTGCAGACCTGTCTTTTATTTTCTTTACACAATTCTATATTGCCTAAAATATATATATATATATATGTATTACCTATGTATAAATGTTGTTACTTTTTGACAAAATGCTGGTCTTGTTTTATATGTTTTTATATATTT